AGGGATCTCTGTAACGTAGCGAGCCCTGCTTTCCCGGTAACGGCCAGCCCTAAAGTCCCCGCCATATCTGCCCCTCCCTGTTACAACCGTAATGCTCCGGCCCACTCCCGTGTCCGTGGTTCCCTCAACCACCCCTATGGCTCCCGCATTCCTCGACAGGCCCTCCGAATCAAACACACTCATTTGTTCACTCAGGCAGTCCCCACGTAATAATTAAAGATAAATAAAAGATAAATAAAAACTTTTATTCCTTGTGGCTGCATAGTAGTTGGCATTTTTACAGCCTAGATCTGGTAGTCCTTTCAGTTGTCATTTGTCCAAATTTTCCCTTCACCCTTCAGATGGAACAGGTATGAGTGAGCAACATTAACAAGAAGGATCAGCAACAGCAACAGAACCAGTCAGTTCAACTGACTAACAGTGATTCCTGCCCAATAACATGCAACCTTAGAATCTGCTCAGAATTGATCTCTTAACCATAGCCAAAGCCAGATGATATTAAAAAGAAGGCCTGTGTTTATCTGATCACTGCTATTTGGAACCTGCTCCTATACGCATGGAGCATAAGGTTGAGAAAGGGAGCAGACACAAAGGAGACCTTGTTGATTCAGTGCTATTTCTTATCTCAGTTGAAGAAGACAATGATTGCTACCCAATGTGCTGGAATATTCCTGATCAGTTTTATAACAAGTGCACTATATTCAAGAGGTGCTGTAGGTTTCCATGGAGCCATAGCATGCCACTTCCATCTCAGGTCCATAAACTCACCTATTGCCACATGTGGCAGGAAGCTCTAGGTTTTGGGGAGTTCACATCCTCCTTCTCCTCCAATATGTGATGGTATATAGGAAGATGATGTGATGGAAAAAAAGGGTAGCACAGCTAAAGGAGTAGGAAGACGTCTAACTCTATTTCAAGGGTACCAACAGATTAATATATGTGGATATGCATATATGCATATTTATTTATTTACTTCTTTACTTATTTATTTAGTCATGTTTATGTAGTGTATATTGCGGGTGGTGACCCTTTGAAAATTGTATACAATGAAATTTCATTTTTATATATGCCGATTAATGTACATTTAAAGTAACAATAAAGTTATTATAACTCTTTTCAGTGGAGCATTACCCTAATTCTTGATTATAAAATAACTAATTCCTAATCTTATGGCTTATAGTTGTCGATATCATGAAACTAACTTTGAGTAATATAAGTACGGTAATGTGTTGTCTCTCCTGGTTTAAAGCAAAGGGATGATCAATCTGTGTGCATGCCCAAGATGGTGTCCTGTCGCGTTTGAGGAGAGCTTCGGGGAGATGATTGTCCTTCTCGGGGGCTTGCAGGGGTACCCTATCCCATCATTGGTTCCAGGTCTAGCTATGAGAACTTNATGTGTGTGTGTGTGTGTGTGTATGTGTGTGTGTGTGTGTGTGTATGTTCCAGCATAACTCTGGAACGCCTCGAGCAATTTCAATGAAACAGATGACTTACACTCTGGAGAAAAATACTGTGGGGATAAGACACCCCTAACATCCCTTGGGGGGGGGGGGGGTTCTGTTAAGATGCAGTCTGTTGTGGCTTTAAACGGCTTCTACTGTACTGCCGTAAAATTGCTTCTACTATACAGTGTAGTGGAAAATCCCTCCCTCTAGTAAAGGGGAAAATCCAACATTAGAAATTACGTTTGGTCCGGACATTTTCCCCCTATAAATAAATATCTGGACAATCAATAATTTTCTTGATGAGTGACATGAAAATGATCTAAACATTTAAAATGAAGGAACAATTTAAAATGAAGGCAATAATTTTCATTCTGTCTCCGTCAATACTGCCTTTATCCTACTGTCAGGGCTGATAACATGTTTTTGAGGAATTCCATCTACATTTCCATAAGATAGCATAAGACAGTCCCTTACTCCTGTTTCCTCGGACTACAGGTGGTCCTCAGATTACAACGGTTCATTTAGTGAGCGTTCCAAGTTACAATGGCACTTGCAAAAAAGTGACTTATGGCCATTTTTCACACTTATGACAGTCGCAGCTTCCCCATGGTCATGTGATCAAAATTCACATGCTTGGAAACAGACTCATATTTATGACGGTTGCAGTGCCCCAGGGCCATGCGATTCCCTTTTACGACCTTCTAACGAGCCACGTCAACGGGGAAGCCAGATTCACTTAACAACCTTTGTTCCTAACTTAACAATTGCAGGCGGTAAACAGGGCACAATTTCACTTAACTGCTGTCTCGCTTAGCAGCAGAAACGTTGGGCTCAATCGTGGCCATAAGCCGAGGGCAGTTTCCCAGCAGCCACGGTCATAAAATGGGACCAAATTCACTTAACGACTGTCTCGCATAACAACACCAGTGTTCAGCTCAGTTGCGGCCGTAAGTCAAGGGCTACCTGTACATTTTTCAAATTCGGGGTGAAGATAAGCAACTGTAGAGAGGGGGGGGAAATCACGTACTGGGACAAACTTGCTTTTCAAGCGCAACACCTCCGTTTCGAAGTCCTGGAGAATCCTGGCGAAAGCAGTGGGCAAGTAGGAGACCCGGACACTCGCAACGGATTCGTATCCATACGTGTTTTGGTCCGGACCACCTTCGTAGTGCAGGAGAAGACTGCGGAGCTGTTCGAACACATCGTCATGGCCCTGGACCAACTTTTTCAGATAGTCGATCTGGCTACTGGATTCCTTCAGCATCTCCTCCTGGAGCAGGCTGGCCGTCTGCAGCTCCTCCACCGTGGCCCTTAGCCTGCTGTTGTGGCCTTCTTGCGAGTAAGATTCCTTCCGTCTGTTGATCAGGCAAGGGAGAATCCAACCCAAAGAAGAAAAAAGCAACAAGGATGATTAGAGGGGGATGGAGGTTAAAACCAGGGGTGGCATTCAGCCGGTTCTGACCGGTTCTGGAGAACTGGGAGGGAAATTTTGAATAGTTCAGAGAACTGGCAAATACCACCTCTGGCTGGCCATGCCCCCATCCAGAGGTGGGTTCCTACCAGTTCGCACCTATTCGGTAGAACCGGTTCGTCAAATCTACCGAACCGGTTAGAAGAGGTTTCACCAGTAGAC